TTGTTCCTTATAGACAAGCATCAGATAATACACGTAAAATTGCACATCTTATTCACCACATGCATGATGTGAAAATTTCAGGTATGCTACTATCTCTAGACCTTCAAAAAGCATTTGATTTTGTCTCTTGGGATTATTTATTTTATATTTTGAAGAAATGGGGATTCTCTGATAGTTTTCTAGTCTGGTTACAGACCTTATATCGAGGTTCTTCTGCTTCAGTACGTTACCTATACTACAACTCGCCCCAATTTTCTATACTGGGAGGTACTCGCCAAGGATGTTCCCTTTCCCCACTTTTGTTTGTTTTTGCTATAGAGCCATTGGCTTGTCTTATACGTATTAATACAGACGTGCAAGGTGTAGAGAAGGGACACATAGAGTATAAACTCCACATGTTTGCAGACGATTTGATGCTCACATTGACTAACCCCCACATTACCCTTCCTAATCTTTTTCATGATTTAAACTTTTTTGCAAAAATTTCAAATTTAAAAGTCAACTAGACTAAGTCAACCACCCTTAATATCTCACTGTCACATACTGAAGTCAATGCATTACAGCAAAATGTTCCTTTTGAATGGAGGTCCTCACATTTATTATATCTTGGAATTAACATCCCGAAAAATTACCAATCTCTTTATAAAGTTAATTATGTATCCCTGTTTAGACAAATGCAGGAATTATTGCTAGCCTGGACGAGACATAAACTCTCATGGATAGGTAAAATTATAGCAATTAAAATGTCAATATTACCAAAAGTACTGTATTTGTTTTGAACTATACCAGTTTGTATCCCAAAACATATCATTCACTCGTTCCAGAACAGAGTTTCCTCCTTTGTATGGAACGATAAGCGCCCCAGGGTTCCTAAAATTACAATGTATATACATAGGAAACAGGGGGGGGGTCTAGGCCTCCTAAATTTTTATAAATTTTATCAAGCAGCACAAATGGTTCCTTTAATACATTTTTATCACGACCCTATATCGACCACTCTGGGTGGATTTAGAAGAATACTCCTGTTCACCTGTTTCATTGAGGGCTATTCCTTGGCTGCTGGCTCGGCTACGTCCAAAAGCAATGCGCCCCATCTTGAAACATATGATTAAAATCTGGGATAATACAAAACATTATAGTAAACTCCAATCTTCTCATATACCGTTACTTCCTATTGCAGGTAACCCTTTATTTTTACCGGGAATGGGAACGACAAAGTCCTTTGTTTGGTGGATCACTCAAAAGGTGACATGCCTACATCATTTGGTGGAGGACGACACAATTCGTACCTGGTCCTATTTTTTAAATAACTTACAAGCTCCAGATACAGAATATTTTAGATATCTACAACTTAGACACTGGGCTGTATCAACGCTCCCTAAGGTTCGTTTTACATCAGAATTAACGGTTTTTGAGAATATTTGTTTAAAATGTCCTACAACTCCTAAACTTATTTCAATATTTTACTCCCAGTTAAATAGGTTATCGATACCTGGTAACCATAAATATGTACAGAATTGGGAAAGGGAGCTCGGAATGGTTAGACAACCGAAGGAATGGCAACAAATTTGGCAATCAATAGCTACTTGTTCTATAAATGTAATATCTCTAGAAACGGCATTTAAAACTTTAACTAGATGGTACTTGGTGCTCTCCAGGTTGGTTCATCTTCACTCGAAACACTCGGATCTTTGTTTCCGAGGATGTGCCTCCAGAGGAGATGTTATTCATACCTGGTGGACCTGTCCAAAACTGGATAGGTTTTGGTTGAAAGTATTTCAGCTGATTGGTGACCTCTTCTTGGTCAATGTTGAAAGAGATCAATGGGTAGCTCTATTACATTTTAAATCTTCTTTTACCAACTTACAACATAAACTGGTGAGTTATGTTATGTTGGCGGTCAAACAGACCATTGCTCAGGCCTGGAAGAAACCATGTGCTTTTTAGAGATCTGAAAAAAAGGATGGATTCCTTTTTTATTAACCAAAAATTGACTAGTATTCTATTAGATTCCAACAAAAATTTTTTGAAGATCTGGGAACCCTGGATAGCTTATACGCATCCATCACTTTCCGTTGAAAGTGTGACTTTTTTGTAATAGATATGACTTATGTGTCTTTTTTTTTTGTTCGTTTTGTGTTGTTTTGGTGATTTTGTTGGGGTGTCTTGGTAGTGATCGTATGGCGGGGAGGGTCAGCAGGGAGGAATTGATTATGTTTATCCTTGTAGACTATCGATGCCAATGTTTGTATATGGATGTTTTATGATATAAAATTAATTAAAAAAATTGTAAGAGAAAATATAAAAAAAAGGAAAAAGAGAAAAGGGGAAAAAAAAAAGATTGAAAACCACTTTTGAAATTACAATAACATTATCTCTTATATGAAATTCTATTATTTGGGCCCAAGTCTACTTTAATCCCATGCTGCTGACTCCTGGTAGCCCTTTAAGGGGTCTTAACCCTGGGAGTCGGAGGTGGATTTCCCAATTTTGTCATCGCTGTGATTGGCTGTCATAGCGATCACATGATTGGGAGACTGTCCCATTGTTTCCCACTTGTAAACGGTTACCAGGAGCTGTTGGTGACAGCTCGGCAACTGTGCTGGGAGAGTGCTCTTAGCACAGAACAGGGAAGGCTAATGCATATATACAGTGGCTCCACATAAAGGCCCACCCACCATGCATATATGCATTATGGCAATAGGAACAGGTTAAAGGATGACTAGATTTTTAATATAGATCCTTTAGCTGCCTGTCACTATCACTTCAGTTCAGCCACCCCATTCCTGTGTGTGTGTGTGTGTATAAATATCATTTATTTATTAGTGTTGTGCAATATGTGTATCACATTTAGCCATCAGCTTTAGTGAGAAAGATTGTGGCAGATCCTGGCACTGTTCAGCCCAAGATAAGAGATATGGATGGATTGGAATGTGTATGGCTTTAAGATTAGCTTAACAAAAATACACTATTCAAAATCTACACTGATTTTTATTAATTTATTATTGCATTTTTCTTTCCCATTTGCTTGTGCAATTCTCTTGTTAAAATTTCTCAATGCTATAATATACTAATTATTTAAAATGGCATTAAACTCTCAAATATTGTGTATATACACCATATTCCTGGATATGAATGCATTGTATTTGTATAGGCATAGAATGTAAATTAACAATTGACTTTTTTTTTCTTGCACTGCGGGGGTTAATTGAGGGTTGGACAAGAACAATTTGACTCACACCTGAATGTTAGGAGGAGTCGGCTAATATTTAAATGGCCTTTTGGAAGAACAAATTTACCTCTATGATTAAGCTGTTATAGTGAAGTGCATTGGCGGCTGACTCATGGGATTCTTGTATCACAATGTGTAAAGCTGGCCATGCACCTTACAATTATCTGCAGATTTTCTATGGTCAGATGTAAAAGGTGCAACAGATTCCTCCATCTACACTAAACTGTGTGGATGGAGTAATCTCCACCTGGGCCAATCTGTTGCACCTTTTACATCTGACCACAGATGGCGTTATTAAGGCAGCAGTGAGCCTCATTGTTCAGCTCCTTGGGAGAGATTGTGCTGCTAGTTGATCCAGGGCATTTTGGAGCAATGGTTTTTCCTTTGCTTAGATTGAAATAATTATGCTGTTTCGGAGTCAACGATCCTCCAAATCCAAAATTGCACATTTAAACCGCAAACTGCACAGCGGCCATATCGGCCACTGGCACGTTCTGCACATGCACCCTGCTATCTTGGAGGTGGTGCGCATGATATTACATAATGTCATACGCATGTATGGGTGCCACCAATTTGGTGTATCCAAGATGGGGTTAACTAATTAATATATGCCCGAATATACAAAAAAAAGTGGGTATATATGTGTTCTTTCGGATGAACCGCAGAATCAACTGAATCACTATTACAATCACTTTAGGGTAGGTTCACAACAGGGCATCAGCACATGTGTTGCCGTGCATTGCAGTGAGTTTTTGCTTGTGCTGTAACTGGTTTTGTACATCATTATGGTGTAGTGGTGGGCTTTAAAAGTAGCATAACCTTTTTTTTCTTAATGTACATCGTAACACATTATAATGTAATAAAATGCTGCCTGCGTCTTTATTTTTTTGAAGCACACCAAAACAGTGTATATGTGTAAACTGTCCCAATATAAAACAAGGCTTTTTGTTTTTGCATTGGGACAATTCTTAAAGTGACACTAAACTCAGGCGTTAAATCTTAAAAATGCATTCAAGTACCTTTACTATTAACAAAAATGTATCTTATTTGTGTATCACTCAGCTCTAGATCCCCAAATAATCTCTGAATTGGTGCTAAAACTGTCCTTCCTTCTGGAGGGTGGCTACTTTTGTTCCCTATGGTTCCTGTGTGTGTTGTAAAGTAGCCACCGCTCCAACCTTGCTCCCGTGATGTACTACAATCTCAATATAAATCAGTAAACTAAACATGAGATTGTATTCCATCACGGGAGTGAGGTTGGAGCGGTGACTACTTTACAACAAACACAGGGACCATAGGGAACAAAAGTAGCCACCCTCCAGAAGGAAGGAGAGTGTCTGTTTGAGTTCAGAGATGATTTGATAATCCACAGCTGAGTGATACACAAATTAAGATACATTTTTGTAAATAGTTGGGGTACTTGAATGTATTTTTAAGGTTTAACGCCAGAGTTTAGTGTCACTTTAACAAATGCAGCCCAATGCATGTAATGTGAACAAGGCCTATAAAGACGTATCATTGTACCTTCCATGGTTTTACAGGTCTCAGTAAGGAAAAGTGTACAATAAATCTAATACAAGGTATACACATTAAAATGTAGGTTAGCAACTTAGTAATAGACTTAAAAAGCTGAGTGAGTGTAAAATGCTGAGTGAGACCTGGCATGTACTTCTCTGGGAGTTGTAGATGTCGTCTTCACAAACTAACAGCCAATCAGAGCTGGAGAAAATATCCTTGTGTTGCTAGGAGTGGCTTTTTTTTTGTCCGTCCTTCTAGAATCACAAGCCAAGGGCTGCATTCTTTTGCTTAGCACTTCTTGACAGAGATCTGCAGCCAGCCCTCGTATCCAGTAAGTAACAATAGAATTACAATTTACTTCTACTTCTTCTGTTCTTACGCTGCAGCATCTTTATTTGCAACATTTCATCAGTGCTTTGAAGTTTTGCTTTACCTTCTAAACAAAATGTATACCTGGCATTAAAATCTATTGGTGATGTACTATTTCCTAAACTTTAAATGTTATACACATAACATTAAAGTATATAAGATGTATAAAACTATTAAGACCATTTATTTACTGTATTGTACTGTAAATTGTATTGTAACTGTACTGTCTCAACTATTTTGTAAAGCGCTGAGCAAATTATTGGCACTATATAAATCCTGTATAATAATAATCATTTATAAAACTGGCAGAACTTTTTTTTTTTCCCCTGTGGTTTCCTGCAATTGAAGGATACTGGAAATACAAGTCTTAAAGTGAGTCATGCAGACATAACGCGCCCATCTACTGAACTTGGGAAACTATTTAGAAAAAAGGGTTTTAGGAGTTGGACAACATTCCAAAAAATAACAATCTTTTCTCTATAGTCTGCTTGCTATTATATGGTTAACCAAGGATATTTCACAGGACAGAAATGCTATTAGAAGAAAGCTTTTTGCAAAAGGTTTGTCTGTATTGCTGGCTTAGAAACCACTACACTAAAACAGAACTTGAAATAAAAGACATTTTTATTTTTATTTTAAATAGCAATATGCCTGAAAGACTGCCACCTAGCACATTACTTAGTGACACTAAACTCAGGAGTTAAATCTTAAAAATGCTTTCAAGTACCTAACTATTAACTAAAATGTATCTTATTTGTGTATCACTCAGCTGTAGGACCTCAAATAATCTCTGAATTGGTGCTGACACTGTCCTTCCTTCTGGAGGGTGGCTACTTTTTGTTCCTCATGGTCCCTGTGTGTGTTGTAAAGTAGCCACCACTCCATGTTTACTCCCAGTGATGGACTAAACATTTAGTATAAATTAGTATACTAAACGTGAGATTGTAGTCCATTGCGGCAGTGAGCTTGGAGTGGTGACTACTTTACAACACACACAGGGCATATCTCGCAGATATGCCTCTCTGTGTCACTATCGGCTGCAGGATGTAATCAATATCTTCTCCTATTCTAGCTAAAACTGAATCAATGCTAGTAACAATGGATCTGCCAGGCAGTGTTTCAACATTTATATTGGTTTTTGGTATGACATAAATTATAGGAATCTTGCAGCATGAGGGTACCAAATCGTCCCATTCCTTAATATATCAAAATGGTTTTTAAAAACCTAGCCTCTCTAGACACTTCAAACATTGCCAGGGCTAAAAGTTTTTTGTTGCTGCTAGCAACTATGATTTACCACCTGGCTGGGCTGGGTGTGAGCTTTCAAGCTGGAGGGCTATGATTGCTCTCTCCTGAGCGGGGGCTGGGGAATGTTCCTTCAGTCCGAATTAAGTGACTGTGACTTCACTTCCTTTACTTGCCTGTTAAGATGCCCATACACTGCATGATTCTCGTACGAGAATCGCGGGAAATCCCGCGATCGTACGAGAATCGTGCAGTGTGAATGAAGACGTGCAACCGTTTCTACTGTGCAGTCGCACGTCTTTTGTCTAAGGAGCATGCTAGAAAACCAGCCGAAAATCTTACGATTTTCGGCTGGTTTGAATGATGCTCGGGAGACAAATGCCGAACGGGCCTGTGTGCGCACGCGCACACTGCCCGTTCAGCGTTGCAGTCATCGGAAGTGCGCTCCTCGGGGGGCGGGCTTGCGATGATCGCAAGTACGATCTGCCTGTCCAAGATGGGCAGATTGTAAGTTTTTTAATTACTTTACAACCATCGCAAGACTAAGGTCTTGCGATGGTTGTAAAGTGTATGGGCACCTTTAGAGTATGGAAGCATAAAGATGCAAATTCTAGAGAAAGGTAGATGCTGGATGAGGTTACTTTATCTTCAAGGCTTGTTCCCTATGGCAGATATGAACAACCTCTAGAGCTTTTATGAGACTTAACTCTCTATATATGGTTAAGTCTGTCTCTCTGTATAAGAGCAAGCATCTATCTTTTCATGGTGAGGATTATTTTCTTCCTGTCTACAACTGCTCACAGGCTGAGCCGATCCATTAATTAAATCGGCCTGGGTGTGTCTTCCTCACAGGTGTGCAGCCTTTTACTGATTGCTCTGGCTGCAACCTTTGGGTTTCGTGTACATCTCAAGCTGGCCATACACTTTACAACCATCGCAAGACTTTTGTCTTGCGATGGTTGTAAGCTAATTAAAAGCTCGTACGTTCTGCCCATCTTGGACAGGCAGATCGTACTTGCGATCATTGAAAGCCCGTCCCGCTGAGGGGCAGGCTTCCGATAACTCCAATGCCGCACGGGCAGTGTGCGCTTGCGCACACCGGCCCGTTCGGCATTTGTCTACCGAGAACGGCACTAACCCGCCGACAATCGCACTATTCTCGGCGGGTTTTCAAGCCTGCACGGGAGACAAAAGACATGCGACCGTACAGTAGAAACAGTTGCACGCCTTACATACACCTGCCGATTATCCTACGCTAGCGGGATTTCCCTCGATTATCGTACGATAATCGGCAGGTTTATGGGCACCTTCAGAGTGTACAGCACCTTCGAAGTCCATGATGAGGGCCTCTTTAGCTGAATTACTACAGCTTTATCTCGCCTGGATAGAAGCTATATGTGTATAAGCATTTAGTGGCTAAGTGAAGGGGCATGCAGCCTCCCTTGCCATATGCTGACAGCAATAAATGGCTTTTCTCTGGTCTACATCTCTTGCACAGCTTGATGCGTATATTGGTAGACAAGCACCTGTAAGCATTTGTATGACTTTACTGTCTGCAAACTATCCCATTTACCTCTTTTTTTTTCCATGTATGCGTTGCGTGTACCGGAGAGAAAAAGGAGTAGCGCTTCTCCGAGGGATGTGACACTCGCCAAGAGTACATAAGAGAGTATTGTCTCAGTACTCGACGAAAGTGCTTAGATTGAGCAGTGGTATTTTTAGGTGGAGCTTTGCCAGGTTGACCAAGGTGATCAAATGCCACTGAGTATGGTAAGTTGAAGTCCCCCCCTACCACCAGGTAAGTGTAGTCCCATTTTTTAAGTTTAGCGAGAGTTCGCTGAAGAAAGGAGATTTGATTACTATTGGGCGCATACACATTACAAATAGTGGCGGGGATTCCATTCCAAGTTCCATTCAGTATCACATATCTACCTTGTTTATCCAGAAGGATATGGCTCGGCTTGAGTGAACAAGAGTCCCTCAGGAGAATGACCACCCCCGCCCTCTTGTCCGGTGAAGACGCCGCATAAGCCCTAGAGTATTGGGAGAATAGGAACTTAAAAGTGTTGAGCGGGTTAAAGTGCGTCTCCTGTAGGAACACTATGTCCGCTTTAGCTACTTTTAATTCTTTATACAATAAATTTCTCTTGGTTTGCGAGTTAAGCCCCTTGGCATTCAAAGAAAGGAATTTATATGAATTCAGTGACGCCATTTATAAAGTAAGAGGGCTGGGGACTGATGTACCACTTTAAATGTGACCACTCTGTTCACCCCTGTATCATGTAAATAGAAAGTATACCAGTAATATGGTTCGGGATCTTCCATCTGGCCGTGGGAATCTCGAGTCAGGAGTGCGATTCTGTCTTTCATCCCCCTAGGGGCCATGGACTGAGACTGGACTATAAAGACAAAAACAGTTAGAAACATGCAGTGATAACCAATTAAACACTCTGCAAGTACAAATTCAACCATTAAGTAAACCAACATATTAAATGGCAAACGATGTAAATTAGGGTAATATAGTTCTCCACACTCAACTCGGAAAATAGTGCCAATATTCTCCTCAGTCTTTGGAGAAAGGTTTCCCGTAAGAACTACCCACGATAATAAGCTCTCCCAAAGGGAAGAACTGGATGGGGGGGTTAATACGCTGACGGGTCCAAAAACAGACTTCGAGATCCGTCATGTTGTACCGCTATAGAAATGTAATGTGCATACAGTGAGTTAGCAGCCCTAGGACAGTGAGACAGCCAGAGCCTATATAAAAGAATCAAAGAACATCTGGCGGTCTCAGAACCTCCTTTCTTTTCTTTTCTTTTTTTTTTTTAAGAATAATGCTTCAGGAAGTTTTCTAGAATGAAGTCAAACCAATCTGTTGACTTATCTGCAGGAGCATATATCGAACATATCACAATATATGATATATCATTAGCGTTGTCGTCTTGGGGTAGACCCCGGCGTTCCCTTAGTCTTGTGTAAGGGGGTCTCAAATGGGGCATCCATCCTCACAGCTTTCTTTCCAGGTGTGACTTTCTGCCATGCTGTCGGTTCAGGACCAGGTTTAGGCAGCGGGTCCCACCCAGTGAGTGTAGGGCATCCAATGCGGAGGTCTGAGCAGAATGATGGCAAGTCTTCCGGGACCCTAAGGGTAGCACTTTTGCCATCCCTACGAGCCGTAAGGCTAAAGGGGAAGCCCCAACGATATGGTATGTCATTGTCTCTCAGGAGGGTCAACAACGGTTGTAAGCATCTTCTCTGTTGCAGCGTGACCCAAGATAGGTCAGGGTAAAGTTGTATGGGGGCTCCATCGAACTCCAGGGATCGCATGTTACGGGCCTTTTGTAAAATCTCTTCCTTCACTTTGAAATAGTGAAGCCTGCAGATAACATCCCGTGGATTAGTCGAGGTTCCTCTAGGGCGAAGGGCTCTGTGTGCCCGATCTATAGTAATCTTGTTAGTAGAAGGGGTACCCAGAATGTTATTAAAGAGTGTTTGGAGGACATCTTGTAGGTCTTCAGGTCCGGTGGCTTCTGGTAAACCTTTGAGGCGGATGTTATTGCGTCTACCCCTATTATCAAGATCTTCGACATGTCTCTGCAGTTCACGAATGGTGTTAGCTTGTGAGATATACTGAGATTGGAGTTGATATAGATCTAGCTTATTGTGTTGTACTGTCTCCTCAATGTCCTCCACTCTATGGGTTAATTGCTTAAAGTC